AAAGGAAATAAGTGACCTATAAGTAAACAAAAGAACTAGTCTTCAGTAAATTCATTTGAATAGACTTCTTTTAACGTTTGCTGCATAGTTTCTGGTAATAATAAAAGAAGATAAATGACAACGTGCAATTTTTTCCCTGTTTTTTTTTTTCTTTATGTAGAAAACTAAGCCTTTAATTCAGAGCTTTCTAAAGTGTAGTTCCTAGACCGGCAGCCTCAGCATCACTCTGGGACTTGTTAGAAGTCCAAATTCTTAGCCCCACCTCAGACTTACTGAATCAATAACTCCGGAGGTGAGACTTGATAATCTGAGTTGTAATAAGCCCTCTAGATGACTCTGATGTGTATTACAGTTTGAGACCTACTGTCAGAATTTATCGGTAAATTTTGATGTCATTAGTGACATTTTATGGCATTTTATCTTTATATGGAAACTTAAAGATACAAAATACTTTCAGATTTAGTAAACCATGATATAACCTCCCCGTATCATCTATTCCGAACTCCAAGACTTTGAATGCTTTCCTTTCCTGCTATCCATCCATCCATCTGTCCATCCATCCAATGTCTGCAGAGCATACACCACAACCTTAATACCGTTCTCTGTGTTTGGTGAATCAAAGTTTTGCTTGAAAGGAACCTTTATTGAGTATTATGGGAAGGAATTCATCTCTTGTATTATAAAACATCTTTGATTATATTGACTCTTAGATGACAAGTTTAAATTATAGAATATGCATCATCATCTTTTAAAGTCACTTTCAACTCTGGTTCTTTGAGTGCAAATGGCAAAGCGCAATTTTTGTATTTTCATGACCTTTCAATTATTTCTTGGAATTAATATTCTTTGGGTAGCATATTCATCTTACCTTCTGATCTTCTTTTCCTTGTCTATCTCCTTATAGATATTTTATCTGAAGACTATATATAGAGTAGTATGTGCTTGGTCTTCATTTGATACTGATATAGAAAACACCCATCAGGGTTTCAACTGAGTTCACCCTTTGCTAAGCAAAAAACTGATCATGCCCTTTGTGTCCTAGTTCATACTAAGCTGCATAAGACCTTCTCTTCTCTGCATATAGGCTAGGCTTTAAAAAATAAATTTATAATTTATACCTTATCAACACTTAGGATTTGAAACTGTCCAATTCTCAGATATTATCCTGGTCTCTCTCCTTTTTTGTCTTTTTTTCTTAATAGCATTGTCATAATTGTATAGAAGTCTCCCTATTCAAGCAGCAAGAGTAAGTTGCTAAAAACTAGTGAACTGCATTTAATAAAATAACAATATTATCCCCACTTTTAAGATAACCATTTTGTGGTACACAGCCCTGATGCAGTATTTTGTAGAGTGTAGTAGGAACTTACTAAATGCTTTGAATGGATGCGTGTTGGAGACAGGGTGAAATAGAGAAGTGTAGTCTTTAAAAGCTTGTTACTATAACAAGACTTTTTAGTGTCACTTACACATTCTAAACTTAATATACCCAGTAATGGAAAATCGGAATTGACTCAATATGTTTCTATTTCATTAATTAGAAAGCCAATGCTTCCATGTCTGGAAGCAAATGTTGTTTTTAGGATTCTGATACTCTTTGCTAGCATCTGTCCATGGACCATATCAGGACCTGTTCTGTGTTCACATCTCTGTTTTGTGATTCAGACTTCAAGGCTGAACCAATTCCCAAATTCTCTCCAGAGAACCATAATGCTGTTTACTAAATTGAAAAATTTTGCAATTTTAAATAGAAATAAACTCCCTGCCAAATTTTGCAATACCTAAAAGCACTAGAATGTCTATTTTGGCCACTTTAACTGATCTTTACAGAACCTTATCAGGTTCACAGTTGCTCCTAAAAAGCTTTCTGAATTTTATTTATTCACTGCAGGCCACTGAGGTGGTATTTTAAGGCAGCTTTGAGACATGAAAAAAGAAGGTATTGTCTACTGGAACCAAAGCAGTAGCAAATCTATGCCTGATAACATTAAATATGATAATTTATGATAGGGATTAGGAATTTGGTTTACGATGATCTTGGAAAAACCTTCACAGTGAGTATTAAGGTTAGCAGCCCTACCACTACTTACCTTTCTGAGGGTTGGGTGGTGGTGTGTGTTAGAAAGTCAAGCTCGCGTTTAGTAGGTTTATTGTAGTAGAACCAGCCTGGCAAATATAGAGTTTAGAAAAGGACATTATTGTCTGGCCATCAGTACACAGTAAATTTGATGATGAGGACAACAGAGAGACAGGAACAGATCTGTGTTTTTTGAAATGTTAATTAGTGCATAGTTACTGCAAAACAACAAATAAACAGAAAACAACCAAACAAAATACAACCTATGGGTCTCCTAATGTAGTGTGGGGGAGGAGAGGCAAATGTGGGGACTAGGCTGGTAGACGTGTTTGCAGAGGTAGGAAGTACATGCAGAAATGTTTCTATTTAATGAATTTGTGTATGTGATTTCCCCGTCACTTAACTCACATTGTCAAAAACTGTTTTAAGTGACAGGAGTTAGGCTTGGTGAAAATTGTATGAAAGAAATTGTATTCAGTTGGCTAGACTACTTCTTGAGCAAAGCTAATGAAAGAAATGTGGTGACTATATCAAAGCAATAGTATTGAGCCTTGGCCAAGGCCTTTTGAAAAATGTTAAAGATTATACTGACATTACTAGAAATTGTTTTAATTAACTTGATGCTGAATGGACAAGACAGAAGTAATGATAATCATGTTTTAAAATACCTTTGTTATCCAAGACTGCATCATTTTCAAAATTTTCCATTGTGAAAGAGGTGGTACCAAGTATGAAGAAAGTTTGGCAGGATCCAGTAAATATTGCTAGAAAGTAGAGGTAGAATCCCATTTTAGCAAAGCCATCAGGAAGTGGAGAAACCTATTGTCATGGTACATGGAAGCGAAGTTTTTCAAACTTTTTGTGACATATGTCAGCTGTAACAGAGGAATATATTTAAGGTTTGTTTATCCTAAATAATAATAATAATAAGGTTTGTTTATCCTAAATAATAATAATAATAATAATAATATAAATGAATACCCATTTACTCACCATCCAGCTTAAGACATACTTAGAGCACAACTCATATCTATAAAGCCACCTTATGCCCCTAACCAATTGCATCCCTTTCCATAGAAATGACTGCTATTGTCACTTTTCTGTTAATCTTTCTCTTTTTTTATAGTATACCACACATATATCTATTCTTAACGATAAATATTTAATTTTTCTTGTTTTACTCTTTATATAAATGTAATTATAACTGTATATTGTTTGAAGCTTGCTTTTCTCCACTCAATTGATTTTTCAGTTTCATCCATGTTGATACATGTAGCTACAAATCATTAATTTTCCCTGCTGTATACTATGCCATTATATACATATACTACAGTTTGATTTATTTGTTCTAATGTTGATGGATATTTAGTTTGCTCCCAATTCTTAGCTCTATTACAAAGAGTGGTTATTATTAACATGTTCATCCATGTCTTCTGGTACTCATGTGCAAGAATTCCAGTGGGGTACCTAGGAGTGGAATTATTGGGTTAAAGTTGCATATTCAGCCTTACTGAGTCATGCCAAAGTGTTTTCCAAAGCGAGTGTATAAATGTTCCCATTACTTTACATTCTCACTGATACTGTATGAAGCTCTAAGAATAACGTAGCCACTCCCTGCCTTTCTCATGGTCAAATTTTATTGTGTTCAAGTGGTAGATTGACTTCAAGCCAAATAGCAAATTCTTCTTACAGATACCAGCTCTAAGAGTTCCTGTTTCACAATTGACAATAGAGGTAACTTCACGGGACTGATAAGTCAAGGAAGAAATTGTATGAAGTGAGATTCCAAATATATGAAGAAAATATCTGTGGCATTTGCTAGCCAGGATATACAGTTTTATATGGCACAAAATTCATAATCTGTAACATGCCTGAGAGGTCTTATCTAGAACGAGTACTTCATTTATTCAAGTAGGTCAATTGTTTATTTTAAAAAAATACAGTGAACTCAGTCTTTGAAAAAGTCAACATTTTCTTTCTAGCAAATGGTATGTTAAGCCCAGAACTCAATCTTTATGATAATAAAATTGTAATTTTGGTATGTTTAGAAAAGTACTATCAAGCTTTCAGAAAGAGGTGTCTTTTCTTCTCTATTCCCATTACAACTAGCCTAGTCCTGGTCTAATTCATGGCTTCCTATCTGTTCTCTCGGTTTTTTCCTTAAAAACCCTCAAAATTACAATGGACCCTTCTCACTTCAAATACAGACTCTTGTGCCTTGTTTATCCTCCTTGAGGACAACAGCAGCATAGCATAGTAGAAAGGGTCTTAGAGCCGCAGACATGGTATCTCTTTCTATTCTGCCACTTACTAGCTGAAGAGTCTTAGGCAAGTCACTTGACTTCACTGAGCCTCAATTTCCACAATTAACTACTTCAGAGGGTTGTAAGTATTTTTCATAAATATGTATAAAGTGCCTAGTAGTTCAGTGCCTCATATTTAATAACTTCTCTGTGCAAGGTAAGCATGTTACTCTGTACTTTACATATATTCTCTTTGATTTTTAAAACAATACTACAAAAACATAGTACAGGAAGCTGCGATTCTGGACAATTAAATAAATTACTCACGGTCCTACAGCTTACAGAGGATTGAGCTGGAATTCAGTTCCAGGTCCGTCTGCCGTTAAGGCCAGCACTCTCCTGCAGGCCATACCATGCTATCTGGCTGTGCTTTTACCATGCTGCACCTATCTCTCTTCTATGACTTCTTTTTAACTCTCATACACAGTTTTCATTTTATTGTTTTATAATTGTTTCATGAAAATAGTGTCACTCTTTGAAGGCACAGGCCTTATTGTCTTTTATTTCTCATAGCCCAGAGTATCACATACCCACAAAGTACTCAGTAAATATTTGATTTATATAGTGCTACCTCTTGTTTAGTTTCACTATTGTTTTAATCGTTTATTTCCTTCTTCTAGCTCATTTCAGCGGCCACGTGGCACTCTCCATTTGGATGATGGTGAATACTGGTCCAACAGGGCAGCCTCTTATAAAGGGAAATCCCACCGACCCATCTTTGAGAACAGCATGGACAAGATCTACAGGAACTTATACAAAAAGGCCTGTAGTTCTGTTTCTCATACACAGGAAAGCTTCTGAGACCATCCATGATACACAATACACTGTATGAGTACCCGTGTCAACTTCTCAATGAAAACGTTTGATGTGATCAATAGCTGTATTCCTTTTTTTGTAAAGACCAGGGGGTTCTAACTGAGTACTGTGGTTAGACTTGAAAAAGTTCATTCCTTCAGATGGTAAATTATCACAGGCAAGCCTTTTTGATCACAGAAGAGAGTACTGTGTTCCCAAAGTCAGAGCTCTGCAAACAGTTACGCCGCCGAGTCCGACGTGAGAAGGACATTGTCATGTCCATCTCAGGTCCAGGACAGGTTCTCTCCAGAAATAGTCTTCTGCCTTAGTCACCTTGGAATTTTCTTTTCATGTACTTGACTGGCTACCTTGTCTGAGTAAGATTTAATTTATATTAGCTCCCCTTTCTTGGTAATGAGCAAAAAGATGTACTGTACAGAAATGAATTTCCCAAGAGTTTAAACCTTGTTTTAACTAGTATTTTCTACTCTTTTCTCCCTTAGAAAGGGCTATTTATATTTCTTAGCTCATTATAAATAGCTTTCTTTTTAACGTTTGTATAATCATTCACTCTCTCTTCTCTAAAAGAACTACCTAAGTTACCTAAAATGTGTAACAGTTAGCTAGAGATAGCAGTAGGCATGTATGACCAAAATGTGAGTAACTGATTTTTGCTTAACATCTGTTGCCAGTCTTCTTCTTTTTGCTTGGGGAAGATTGTTGCTGAGCTAACATCTGTGCCAATCTTTGTCTATTTTATGTGGGATGCCTCCACACCACGGCTCCTGAGGGGAGTTGGTCTGCACCTGGGATCCAAACCTGCGAACCCTGGAGCGCTGAAGCAGAGTGCACAAACTTAACCACTGCACCACTGGGCCAGCCCCAACGAGTAACTACTACTTTTTAAAGATAGCATTCTTTGTGTGATTATATTTTAGGGCCGTGTCTTTTGGTGCAACCAGAATCAGAAAATAGCCTTTGTAAATGAGCATGTAAAGAATAAGGGAATTATATTGTAATATAATCTCTTTAGAGTTGTCATAGATACCAAATGGCCCAAGAGAGTAGTATCTTTACTCTAAAGGACACTTGGAACCATGAAGGGGAGTAAAATATTACAGCAGAATTCTTTGTTGTAGGCGCTGGAGAGTCTGTTGGTTGATAAAATTAGCTCCTCCCTCGCCCCCAAACATACACCTGTGAGGCCAGGGACACATTGGAGACATGAAGCAATCAGTTACCTTGTACTTATCAGAGAGTGAGCGGAGGGGAAGCAGAGAGGAGGAAGGAGGTGAACTGGGCGTCCACGCTGGAAGAGTTGACGACAAGCAGTGTTCTCACTGACTCCGTCTTTGGTTAATTCTACAGTTAGGATTTAGAAAGAAAAAAAAAAATGGACTTGAACTTCACTTAAATTGAAATAAAGATGTAAAATTGGCTGACTTATTTTTGTATTAGGAGAAAATATATAATGCTTGTTATCTAATAATTGATTTTAGAGTGATGTAGAATGGCAACATGATGGATCAGAAAGCCCAACAGAGACGAAGGCAGGAGGCCCAGGCTGTAGTTCCATCTCTGCCGTTTTCTAGCAGAGTCACCTTACTTCTCTGGTCCTTAGTCTCCTCGGCTGTGAGCTGAAGAGAATGGAGTAGATGAGCATTTCCTGAACTGTGTTCTGTGGACCTCTGACCTAGGAGATGGTTGAAGGAAGGTAGACGCAAGTGTTTCATTGGTCGTATAAGTTTGGGAAAATCTGTGGACTGTATTCACCCCCCTGTCCCCCACAATTTAGAGAGTCATAGGTAGGATGACAGGGATAAAGGGAGGGCTATTAATGCAGAAACGACAGTGAGAAACTGTGACCGTCCCAGAAACGAGAACCTGTGGTCATCATGGTCATGGTAACGTTAGTGTGTTAGAGGCTCGAAGAAAGCCGGGCATGAACCTGTCTTGCCTAGCACCTGGTAGACAGCCTGGCACATAGTTGGTACCTATTAAATATTGAGTTAATCTAGAATTTCCTAAACTAAATTGAGCACGTAACCATTTCTGTTGTTATGGCCATTCTTTCCCTTCCATTCTGCCCTCCTCAGCTCTGCACACTCCTTTTCAGATGCCATCCTCAGGTGCATGTGGACCCCAGCTGGGGACATGCTGGACCACACAATCACTGAGGTACCGTCTGGCTGTAGGTTATATGATGTTTTGTACAATAAGTTTTTGAAAGTCAACATTGAATAATGCTTTTTTTAAAAAAAACCTTATATCCTCATTGAAACTTAGCCAGCTCTGTTGGTCTAGTGGTTGATTTGGTGCTCTCACCACCACGGCTGGGGTTCGTTTCCCGGTCAGGGAACCACACTAACCATCAGTTGTTTGTCATCCTGTGGTGGCTGCGTGTTGCTGTGATTTTGAAAGCTATGCCTCCAGTATTTCAAATACCAGCAGGGTCACCCACAGTGGACAGGTTTTGGAGAAGCTTCCAGACTAAGACAGACTCAGAAGAAAGACCTAGCCGCCCACTTCCGAAAAATTGGCCATGAAAACCCTATGAATAGCAGCGGAGCATTGTCTGATATAGAGCTGGAAGGTGAGCGGATGGAGCAAAAAGACCGGGCAGGGTTCCGCTGTGTTCTACACCGGGGCGCCTAGGAGTCGGAATTGATTCAGTGTCCCTAACAACAGTGAAACTTAGTATGATTTGTGTGTGTGTGTGTGTGTGTGTGTGTGTAAACAAATGAAAATTTCCTCCGTTTAAAAATGCTGCTTGGTAAAAAGGACAAATATGAACTTCAAAGAAAATGCTTTGCTATCAGAGAAAATCTCCTGAGTGACTAAGTTCTCACTGCACCTGTGTCTGCCATTGGCTGTGACAGAGGCCGCAAAAGTCAGTCTCAAAGCGGAACTTCAGAAGGTGAAATTCTGAAAGGCATTTTCCTGTGCATTAACTCTCACATCTTTCTGAAGGATAAGCTGCAAATTTTCAGATATGCTACATCCTTGCTAAGTGTCTGATTATCTCCATTGCCTAGGGGAAGGAATAGTCTTTGTTGCTATCCCTAACGATTACTGTGAATTGTTCTGTTGTATTATCTTAAAGAGTAAAGCCTTTAAGTACTAATAATTGTCTTTTCTCACTGATAGAAGCTGAAAGATGCAGCTATTTATTCTCTTAGCATTTTTTCTATGTTTCCACAATCTAGTAATAGTTATTGGACTTAATCTGAAAGATAAATAAGCCTTACTTCTTCCTTTTAATGTTTTTTTTCCTTTAAATAGAAAAACCTGGGAATTTTAGGAAGGAAAATGTCAATTCAACTAAGAAAAAAGATGAACCTTTGAACCAAGAGTGAGTTCTCCTGGTTCCACTACTAATTAAAACTTGTTTAAGTCATTTATCCTTGGAGCTCGGTTTTCTTACCTGTAAGGTGATGAAGGGGTTAAGTTAGAATGATCCTTTAATGTTCCAACATTTCTATAATTGTATAATTGATTAATGTGGAAGATCAGGAAGTTGTAGGCAGCAGAGTCGTGTTGTGACTTCAAAGATTAAACCTGTGATTAAAAATCTGGGACAAATAGAGAATTCTCATTATTGTGTTCATTTTCTAATAATAGCTCTATGAGCTATAATTCACATACTATAAAATTCACCCTTTGAAAGTATACAATTGAGTGGTTTTTAATATATTGACAGTTATGCTATTATAACCACCAGCTAATTATAAATTATTTCATCACTCCTGAGAGAAATCCCATACCCGTTAGCGATCACTTCCACTCCCCTCTCTCGCCCAGCCCCTGGCAACTACTGATCTGCTTTCTGTTTCTATGCCTATTCTGGACATTTCATATAAACACAATCGTACATTATGTGACCTTTTGTGTCTGGCTTCTTTCCCTTAGCATATTTTCAGGGTTCATGCCTGTTGTAACAGGTATCAGTACTTCCATTTCTTTTTGTTACTAAATAATAATCCATTGTATGGATATACCACATTTTGTTCATTCATTCAGTTGATAGTCATTTTCATTGTCTTCACTTTTGAGATATTATGAAAAATGCTGGTATGAACATTTGTGTACAAGTTTTTGTGAGAACATGTTTTCATTTCTCTTTAGTATACCCCCAGCAGTGGAATTGCTGGATCAGGTGGAAACTGTATGTTTAGCATTTTGAGAAACTGCCAAACTGTTTTCCAAAGCGACATGCTTGTGTTTATTTTTATCTTACCTTAAGATCTTAGGCCAGTTACACCCTCCAGCATTCATCCGCCCATTCATCACGTGCTTGCTGAGCACTGTGTGAGATGTAGAGGCTATAAAATGTAAAAATGTATCTTCCCACAAGCGTGAAGAGTCTATTGAGAGAGACAAATTACCAGTGTATTTCAACATTTGCAGTGGTTTGGTAACTTGTATGATATGAGAATGTAAGAATGGTGATAGGGCCACAGAACTTGCAAAAGCATGAAAATGAGAGAGCGTGATTGTTCAGGAAACTTCAAGCGCTTTAGCTGCAGATGGTGGGCGGGGTTGCAAACGCTTCGGAGGATATTGATGAGTGCAGTACGAGAACCACAAAGAGAATGACAGGCCTGGAGCAGCATTAGGAAAGGTGACCTTTGAGCTGGACGTTGAAGAACTTTCGAGAATAGGAAATCAAGATGGAATAAACTAAATATTGAGCAGGTTTTATGAGGGTGGAGGTGAGGTCGAAGGAAGTGTACAATAATGTTAAAAATCTAGAACTTGGAAGAACTCAAGAATAGAAAATGGATTTGTGAAGTCAGATAAAAATAATGAAGTCCGATAGCAATAAATGAAAACTCTCTGTTGTTCTTGCCCTAGTTTGCATGTGGCCATAATAGGCATCCTGAGAGGAGCAGACCCCAGGCACCTGCACGCTTTGCTTATTGTTGGGACCCTGGGGGTAGCAAGTTAGTGTGAGGGCTGCCCTTCTAGGAATTAAGAAGTATCTTCTCCCAATCCCAGATTTTCTGACTAGCTAGAAATTCATGGACAAAATGAAGAGGTAAAGGAAAACCCAAATTTTTGTTATTGAGTTGTTAAGAGGGTATTATTTATCTCTGAATGATATACTTTGAATTTAACTATATAGAATTCCTTAGACAACCAGAACTTGTGACTATTCATCCATTTAACAAATATTATTGAAAGGGTGGTCTGTTCCAGGCAATCTGCAACGTACTGACTGGTCACCCAGAGATCGACAAACACAGTTCCTGACCCCAGTCTTGGGGGGATTGACATTTACTGATCACAGTGACAGAAGTGCTATAGTAGTTGATAGAAATGCTGGAAGGACAAAAGGCAGTCCCAATTACTTCTTCTTAGAGACGTCACATGCTCCAGAGAGGGATGATAATCGAAATTAGCTGATGTTCTATAGGCCTGGATAGCATGAGCCTTAGAAAATCACTTAGTAGGTTTGTAGAGTAGGAGCGAAATAACCCAACACAGAACAGATATGAGCCAACAAACTGCCACAGCTCCCTTACTCTCTAAAGGTTGATGAAGTTAGTTAAGAAGCTCTTACTGTCTTTACCAAAAATAACTCTGCTTTTGAGGGAAAAAAGGTATATCTATAAGATATTGAAGAAAGTGCATTTTGCTGTACTTCTATAGATCACCTCCACAAAAGTACTGAACGTGAGTTAGTGAGATAAACCAGGGTCTGAACTCAAGGACTTTACTTTGACCATTGGTGGAGGGTCACACAAGTAAACAATGATGGTATAATCTATGGAGTCCCTCAGTTTTACTCTATGTTCTGTGTAGGATCTTTGAGCACGGGTGTATTTCTTCATCTGTGTATCCCTAGCATCACAATCTGGGCACATCTTTATCACAGCCCTTAACAAACTGAATTAACAATTACTTGCCTATGTGTCTTTTTCTGCTGATCTAGGATCTTGTTCACCTCTGCATCCATGGCAGGCAGTAGGTGTACAACGTTTGTTAAGTGACTACATGACAGAAAAATACATGAAGGGCCTCTAAAAACAGTGCAAAGCCTAACTCTATCTGGATGTAAAAAATAAGAAGACCTAACAAGACTGTTGCTATCAGCCTAGTCTATCTATACCTGTAGACCAAAGAGATAAAGTGGAAAAGATGAGAGAAAAATCTTCGTTGTACAGTGGTCCTCAAGAAGAAAGAAATGGTTCCTCAGTTGAGAGGGTTAGCGTTTTTGTAGTGAAATCTATTTTTCAAGAGTACTTTTAAATTAAGAAAAAAGTCATATAATATGATGGCCTGCCTTTTTGTTTGTCTGTTACTTGGCTGACCAACTAAGATACACAGCGTCAGGTGACCAGGGCCAGCTCCTAAACTGCTCCTGCACTGGGCGATAAGTGCAGAGTTAGGCAATGGACCAGGAAGCAATTGCCTGCAGTTGTTTCTAGCGTCTTGTATTCCAATGCAGTGTAAATCCCTTCTATGAAATGCAAATTTCTTAGTTCCCAAGGTAAGCTTAAATATTTTCTTTCCCAATGTCTTATCTTTTGTCACTCACAAAGCAGTACATTTTTAACTGAAGGACTGAATAATTCTCTATCTTCTAGCTTTCACATGTAACCAACCTACTCAATCTAGACACTATGGCTCTCCTGAATAATTGGGAATTAGTATGTAAATATTTAAGCAAAACTGTCCCAATGAAATAGTCTTTTTCTTCTTTTTTACTAATTTCTTAAATCTTAGTACGTTGCATTCAAGCTGTGATAATTCACCTAAATGAACCTGATGGGAGAGAATGGATTCTGCTCTCATTTGTACAGCATGTGAATGTTTGCAGGTTTTTGGGGGGGAAGTTGTTTTTTGGTTTTTTTACTTTCCATCCCCACCTTAGTGTCATTTTTAAAGTTCTTAAAACAAGGGAATTAAAATAATATTTCTTAAGGACTACCATCTATACTTGACAATTTACCTACGTTATCTTATTTGAGCCTCACAGCAGCTCTGTGAGCTTGGGCAGGCATAAGTAACCTCAGTGTTACAAACTAGGTAACTAAGGATCAAGCCACTGTGGTTGGCCAGTGATAGACACAGCCAGTAAAGAGTAAAGCTTGGATTTGAATCTAACCCCAACTCTGCCTCTCAAATAGATAAGTGGCTAAAAAACTCAGCTTGTAACAGTTCATAAGTTTTTAATGGTGGAGCTGTGATCTCTTCAGAGAAAACCTCAGTGGATTGCACTGTAAATTGAACATTAATGCGGTAAAACCTAGGGCAAATCTCCAACATCCAAACACTAACAATGATTAAAGAGATCATCTCGTGAACTAAGGGAGAAGTCGGTGGAAGTGTATGAAAGGAATATCACTGCAGATTTATGTTAACTGACGCGAGAGTTCATGGTGATCAGTGTTGATCATGGGGTAGTTCCAGATAAACGACTGATGATGTGCTTTCTGTGGAGCATTGTTACCCAACCGCACATTCAAGCATCACTCCATTTCTTTAAACGGCCTTATTAAGGTATCATTGATACACAAAGAACTGCACATATTGAATATGTGCAAGTTGATGAGTTTGGGCATATGCAGACACCTGTGAAACGGTCACCACAGTCAAGGTCATAGACATAACCCAACACTCCCAGAGTTTCCTTGTGTCCCTTGTTTCGTTTGGTAACTATAGGTACCCTGCTGTACAGTAGTTCTGTAGGACTTAGTCATCTTATATAACTGAAACTTTGTTATTAACAAATAAAAGAGATATTATCAGATCCACAACTTACAAATATTTTCTCCATGCCTCTTCATTCTGTTGCCTTTTCATTCTGTTGGTGATTTCCTTTGCTACGCAGAAGCTTTTTAATTTAATGTGCTTCCACTTGTCTATTTTTGCTTTTGTTGCCTGTGCTTTTGGTGTTATATCCAAGAAATCATTGCCAAGACCAACATCGAGAAGCTTTTCCCCTATGTTTTCTATTAGGAGTTTTACAGTTCCAGGTCTTAATCTACTTTGAGTTGATTTTTGCGTATGGTGTGAGTTAGGGGTCCAATTTCATTTTTCTGCACGTGGATATCCAGTTTTCCCAACACCATTTGTTAAAGAGACTATCCTTTCCCCATTGTATCTTCTTGACACCCTTGTCAAAGATCAGTTGACCATATGTGTGTTGCTTTATTTCTGGGCTATTCTGTTCCATTGCCATATGTCCATCTTTATGCCAGTACGATACTGCGTTAATTACCGTGGCTTTGTGATTCAGCTTGAAATCAGGAAGTGTGATGGCTCCAGCTTTCTTCTTCTTTCTTAAGATCACGTTAGCTATTCTGGGTCTTTTGTGGTTGCATATGACTTTTATGATTTTTTTTTCTATTTCTGTAAAAAATACTATTGGGATAATAAACAAAAGAGAGCATAGGTGGTTATATTAATATAAAACAAAATAGACTTTAAGTCAAATACTGTCACAAGCATCACTACATTTCTGTTGCAGAAAAAATTTAAAGAAGTTTAACTTTCTGAGTTTATGATATAGTTCAGAAATAAGGTGAGAGAAAACCTTTAATGTCTTTGAACATATGTAATAGAATCAAAAATAAGTGGATCCTGTTAGAGGCTTCCTTTTATCAATGAAACTCATTCTTCACGGGAGTTTCTGTTTGTGTGTTTGTTTTTTAGTAAAATTAGTGATATATGCAAACAAAGTGCTGAAGAAAGATTTAAGTATATATAGGTTTTCAGAAAGTTCTACTTTCAGGAGATTGACAGCAACATTGTATAGTAGAAAAAGCACTTCCTTCACAACTTTTCTGAACCTCATTTTTTCTACCTGTGGAATTGGATATTAATAAACATTGCCCTCCATTCCTCAGAGAAATACTAGGATTAAATAGAAAATAATTGTGGACATTGTTTCACATATGTTAGGCACTGTCATATTGTTTTTTGGAAATGATCTGGGAAAAGGAATTTGCAATCTGAAAAATATTTCCTCTGGCATAATAGCAGTACTGTTGGTTCTAGAGTTGAATAGACGTCAGATTTCTTTCTCTGAATTTGTCACCTCTGTGTTACTTAACCTTTCTGAACTTGTTTTCTCCTTTGTAAAAAGGAAGATATTTTCATAGGGTGGTTGTGATCATTTAAACAGTTGATGCCTGCATCACAGACAATGCACAGTGCTCAGTAAGGGTAACTATAATCACTAAAATTCCAAGTCAATATAGAGGTAATATTCTGGAAGATCTTAAGGCTCTGATTAGGGGGAAAATGCGATATGAGCTATATGAATAAATATTTTAAAATTTCAAAATTATTTTAAGACATGAGACCAAGTTATCCGGATTATTTGGTATGGCTCTTAAATTTACTAATTATTTGATTTCTGTAGGTTGTGCAGTATTGTGGAAAGAGCCACATAAGCCTGGGTTTGAATTCTGTACTGTGGTGCTATCTGGAGATACTGACCTTTAATTTTATTATTCATTAAATGGGAGTGGTACTACCTAGGATGGTTACAATGAAGAATATGTTAGGTAAATGATGCAAAGTGACTGGCGTTGTACCTGACAAATAGTAGATGCTTAAAATACATACAGAGGTTAC